CACACACACTTGCAAACACACACATACACAAACAAATGGGCATACATACATTTTCATGCACATACACACTCTTACACGCAGGCACACACATACACACATGCGCGCACACACAACACACGAGGGGCGAGATCCCACTAGCAACGGGATAGGATAGAAACGAGTTTGTGGGGCAGTTGAGTGACCCAAATCTTGTCGTGCAGTACTCGTGATCCCACGGTCAGCATTTACTTGTATTACCCGAAAAAGTAAGGAGATTTTCATTCCCCTCCCCCTCTCGTTAACACTGGCATGCCGTGCAAAGAAAGCTTCCCTCCAGAATCTTTTCAATCGGTTAGGGGTGTGGCTAACCCCAAACGAGGGTGGGGTCGGTCTTACGCCCACTGGATAGAAGTTTTTCAGTATTTTCCTTGTTGTTGTGCAATTATCTTATTGGGTGGAGCCCTCCCTAATCACGGAGTATATGGAGAGTGTCAGGATCAGTGCTGACAGAAGTCAAGTTTATTCCAGAGAATGTGGCGGTTACTTTATTCACTGTTATTGCAACCACCGCCATCAGATCATTTGTGATCTGATGGCTGGGAAGCACTCTGTCGTGATTTCCGATGGAAGGTCTCTGTTTTTGTTTTTTTTTTTGTCTTTCTTCTGTTTTCTCGGCCCAGAAATCTGTAATGAACCTGTCAAGCCGCCGCCACTCAGTGTCATACAGATCGACCACACTTCTAATATCTGACTGCTAATAGGACCTCGCCCCTGCACACACATAACTAGGGCCCTAGGGGTTGGGGGATGTGGGGGCGGATGGCTTAGAGGGCTTCCGGGTAGGTTTGGGGACTGGTGCCGGGGGGTTGGTGAGTGGCAGGAGGCAGGCCGGTCGGGGTTGGTCTAATTCGGTGGTGTAAAAGGTGCTTCAAGGGTAAGGGGATTTTTTTTTTTTTTTTTTTTGCCTAGGGCCACGTGTTCTGGACCCCATGCATCAATTCCGTTTTTTGGAAAAGCGCAGGAGCCGCCCGTTTTTGCTTTTAACGGGAATTCAACGGAATTTTTTAGAATTCAACGGGAGTTTAATTCCCCCGTTCCCTGTTAAAAAGATACACAGCACACACACACCCGCGCACGCACACATACACACGCACACACAACCGCACACTCTCTCTCTCTCTCTCTCTCTCTCTCTCTCTCTCTCTCTCTCTCTGTCTCTCTCTCTCTCTCTCTCTCTCTCTCTCTCTCTCTTCNCTCTCTCTCTCTCTCTCTCTCTCTCTCTCTCTGTCTCTCTCTCTCTCTCTCTCTCTCTCTCTCTCTCTCTTCGGGAGCCTCATTGCACAGCCTGATGCTGTTCTCTAGCGAAAGACCCTGGACGATAAGGGTAAACTGATCCCCTACCGTACTAGCTTCAGAAGTCGCATCGGCTGCGAGTACATCACATCTTCGCCACGAACTTGGGAAAGTTCGCAAAAGCAAGAGTTGGTGGACTGCGCTCGTCATTTTTCATTCTTGGAACACTACCTACCCCGTTGCCCTGGGACTTCTCCACAAGCTATATCATATTGTTGTGTGCGGTTGACTGATGACGGGTGTCCTTTGGCGAGAGTGCTGTGTGTGACTTCTTCAAACAAAAGTAGAAAACTCGTGGATGCAGTTGTGCTCTTGGCACGGAACGAGATGGTACTTCAGGGATCCAAGTTCAAGCCCGTGATGTCTCCCCCCGATGTAGATGGGCGGTCAGATTTCGTGAGAGCATGTCGGGTCAGATGTTTATCATTGTGGCATGAGGTGGAAGAGAAAGTGTCCGACATACGAGACTGTATAGGGAATTCCTTAGCACGATTAGGAGGGTTTGTCAGGATGAAATACATGTCCGTGTTTTCGGATACTGCAACTGTCCACGAACCGCAGAGCCACATATATGGATCATCTATGAATGCCATGTATGGTATCGGTTCACGACCTCGTCTGCGAGAAACCCCGTATGTCACAAGATACGGACGTGTGGTCAGACCTTTTGTTGAAGGGCGATTGTAATTTTAATGAACTCTTCTGGTTTTACAACTATCTTGTGCTGTGTTGCGATGTCGTGTCGTGTACTTCTATGAATGCTCTCAGACCTTGTGTTTAAGAAAAAACATGTTAAAATACAATCTTATGGAACATGATGTGCATGTGCACCTTGAAATGGTGGATATGCAGACAATCACACGATGCCTCTCGCACCTATTGCAACTATTGCCTCTCGCACCTCTATCTACTACTTCATACACTTTGCCTCTCGCACTTATTGCAACTATTGCCTTTCACACCTATATCTACTAATTGTTTTTTGCTTCGAACGTTTTTCCGGAAACAACCCGTGTCTATTTTGCAATGTGCGGTTCAGTGATTTGAACATTTCTCGCAACTCTCCGTGCGGTGTTTCCATTTACGAAGGTGCAATGTTAGGAAAAGACTATGCAAGTTGCGAGTATTTCCATCTCCACGTTGCGGTGACAAGAGTAAATGTTCTGAATGGATATTATGTATCTTGTCCACGCAAAGAAATGACACGCCGATGACCTTGCAAGTGTTTCGATCTTCGATGTTCATGCGAATGTCTTACAGTCCTATACATGCTCATGTCAAGGAGGGGATCGATGTTTGCGATGACAAGAGTGAATGTTAGGAATCTATGTTATTTATTTGTCGATGCAAATGACAAGCCAGAATCCATGTTGTATCACCGCGCAGATGGTGTGCGTTCATGTTGTCCATCTAAATGAGAGTTCACTCCGACTTGTGGTGTGTACCCCGAGCAATCCGCTAGTTATCCATGCAAATGTCGAAGAACTGATAACCTGCGAGATCGGGAGTTCAATTCTGTTTCTTGAGTGCGAAACTCTGCTCGAAACAGATCCAGATCCAAAAGGAAGTCCTGCCAGAGACCAAGGTTCCCTTATAGTGCATGGCCATCCGCACAGACCGCCAACGACTGTTTGACACTTGTTAAAGGTGCTCAGTCACCAAACCGATATCTGCGAATTGATTCGTTGTTGAACTAGTATCTGTCAATG